TTCCTGCTGCCCTGTCTTTCCTTCCCAGGGCTAGAGGTTACTGCCCTGCTAGCAATGTGGGTAGAACTGGGCAAATTCACTGGTGGTGGCAGCATAAGCAAAGATGGGGAATGGCAGCTGATGTACAAGTCCATTTCTGCTGCCCTCAGGAGGTGGCAGGTGAGGAAATGTGGGGGCAAACAGAAGCAACTCGATAACTCTCCTGTGGGAACGGAGACATCTTGTGCAACCCCAGAATCAGGCATGCTCTGAGCTTTCCCTTCCCAGAGCTTCCCTCTGTGCTCCTGGTGCCCTGCCATGCCCAGCAACTGGAAGGCATCACTGTGCTCTCCTAAAAGGTGGTGCATTTCAGTGGTGTGCAGGGGCTTTCTGGGGAGCTGGACTGCAGTGTGTCCCTGAGTGCACAGGGAGAAGCTCTGCAGATCCTGGTGCTGGGCATGTCTTGCGCCACCCCTTGACAGCAGGGGAAGCAGTATCTAGGGTTTCTCCTCAGATCCACCAATGTGTGTCCTGGTATTTGCTGTCCACAGGCTGAACACCATCTTGGACTCAGACCGAGTGCTGGTGATGCAATCTGGGAGAGTGGCAGAGCTGGATTCGCCCGCCCGCCTAAGTAAGAAGGATGGCTCCTTGTTCCAGCACCTCCTGCACAGTGGGCAGCAGTGACCTCCCTCCTGGGCTGAGCCCAGGCAACCCTCCTGGCTCTGTGCCTGGCTTTCCTCTCACCTCAGCCACTAGCCCTGTCCCTGCAGGGCCAGGACCTGCTGAGGTGAGGAAAGGGTTTATTCCTGCTTGCAGACAGCGATTTTGTGTCCTCAGGAACAATCACATGGCACTGCAGCCTTTCCTTTAGTAGGGAAGATGGGAACTGCTGTTTAGGACCACGCAAGCCTGGCTCATGGGATACTGCTCCCCTCCAGGGCTCCCCTTTGAGATTACAGAGGGATTTTCTGCTCATTGAAAAATCAGTGACTCCTAGTCTGAGACTTAGTCTCACATGTACAATTTAAAATAAAATGGAAACTTCCTTGTGAAGCTCTGTTATTCGGGTCCCTGTCCCTTTTTCCCCTCAGACACAGACTTCCTTGTGAGTGGTGCCCTCTCTGCACAAAGACAACCCTACCTGCTCCCTGCTTTTTTCAGGGGGCACTGACGTCTCCAAATAGCCCAGAAGGCTGCACCCAGAGCCTTGCTGCTCTTCCTGCAGCTTACAGTGGAGAAGGCCTTCCCCTGAAGGGCCAGAATGGGATTACATTAAAGGCATCTAAGGCTAGTTTATTTCAAGACTGCTTTTCCAAGGAAAACTCCCTATCCCTCCTGCCCTGCTCCCAGCTGCGCAAACCCCTAGCTGCTTTCAGTTTTGGGATCACCTTGCTCTTCCCATGGGCACCCTTGGACTCAGTCTTGGGTTTTCCCCTTTTCCCCAGCACTGAGACAACACCTAGCAGATACACACCTTGGCTAGACTGTCCTGAGGCAGGTCCCTTTCCTTCTCCTGAGGCTGCAGGAGCCAACTCCACCCCTGCAGCATGGGGTGAGGGCACAGGGCAAGACAACTTCGCTGCCACAACCTGGATTTGCATTCTTGAGGGAAGTGATGGAGATACTCATCCAGAACAAGTAGCTGATCTAATTGAATCTGCTGAGAGCAGGAGGTTGGTGTCCAGAGGTCCCTTCCAACCTAAATTATTTTATGATTCTCTGATACACTGTTTCTGGGCTTGTATTTATTTTATTTGATAAAGGTACATCATTCATCCATGTATTAAAAAAATAATCTTTCTGATGAAGCCCCAGTCCCCTCTCCCAGGTCTTCCTTCTGGCTGAGTGCTTGCTTCTCTGTCTGCTCTCTTCACACTATCTTGAACCCAGCTCTGCAACTCTACAGGCCAGTAGTAGGGTTTGGGTTGTGGGTTTTTTTTTACCCTACTGCTTAGCCCTCCATGCCTCTTCCATGAGAAGGCACGGAAAACCCTGGCCCTGGCAGATAGATGCTGATTGCTGCACACCTGACCAGCACTGGCAGGAGCAGACCTATTGCAAAGGCTAAGTGACCAGGCTATCTACTGCCTCTTAGCTATGCTTTAGCAATGGTGGAGAAGGCAATATCGTATCTGCTTCCTATGGTCATCCCAGGCTCAGTAGCCTGTCCTCACACCCACTGTGGGGAGCTTAGCCTTTGTTATATCAAGAAATGCTACAATGGCTGATTTGAGGTTAGTGCCAGCTGCCTGCCTCAGAGTGACTGGGAGAGGAAAGGAGGATCTGGATCTTGTATTGCTCCTGAACTAGCCACAACAGATCTCCAGCGTTGTCCATCTCCAGTTTCACCTGCGAGGGCATATGAGAAGGACCAGCTCAGGCCCAGAGGATGCCAGAGGGGAGAAGATGATGCTCCTCCTTGTCAGCAAATGGTGAGGCAGGAGTGTATACTGGAGAGAGGAAGGAGCTTGGTCATTTGTGGCCAGACCAGAAAGGACGGCTTGGTAAGCCGGGGAAGAAGACCCCTGGATCATCAGGAGGAAAGTACAGAATGTGTTTGTAACCCCAAGTCTGACAGCAAGAGGAGGCAGCATCACTCAGAGCAGAAGGGCATGAGGAGACCCCAAATGATCTCCAGAGTCTCTTTGAAGTGGCTCACAGAACCACAAGGCCAGGGAGCAAGGGTGCTTGCTCAGTCCCTAGGGACATGGCATCTGGAACAACAGCCTACAGAAATAGCCGGGAGCTACCCCATCCAGTACTGGGGCAGGGAGGCCTGTGCAGCCATGACAATCCCAAAGGCCCCAGAAGAAACATCCCAACACCAGCGCAAACAAGGACACAGCGCCTTCCGGTAGTCACAGAGAGGAGTTACAAAGGGCCTGGCAGAATTTGGGCTTGCAAGAAGGCCGTGACCTCCTCAGCACTACCCGTCCTGTTTCTGAGAGCTCACGTCAGATGATACCGGCACTGCATGGTGTGACCTGCCACAAGCGGCATGTCACCACTCCCCTGCAGGGCTGGCCCAACACAGCCCTGCTTTCAGATGCCCTGTGCCGGCCAGGCAGGAGACAACTCAGACCCAGGCAGGGCCATCGCACCAATGCTCAACTCCCAGGGGTTTCGTTGACATGTTCCCTGCTGTGGGAGCCCTTCCCCACTGCCCAGCTTGTTCCGGCGTGGCTCCCCAGGGTGCAGTTCGAGGGGTCTGCCAGCATGATGACCTGCCAGGGCCTGGCTCAGAGTCCTCGCAGCTCACAGCTCTGTCGTCTTCCTGGGCTCGATCAGGACGGTGTTGAGCATGCCCACCTGACACTCCTGGTCTTGGAGCTTCCTTGCAGCCTGTGAAGGGCTTTGGCACCAGTTTGACCTCTGACGGCCCCTCTGCCAGTTCCTCAGCATTAGCAGGACGGTGATGAGGACCAGCACGGCCGTCAGCACCCCGAACACCAGCACTGTCACCAGCTGGGCTTCAGTCAGCCCCGAGTCCCTTTGGGTCACCACCTCCTTCACAGAGATTTTCAACAACCCTCCCCCCGGCTCTTTCTCACTGTGGTTGGCCACACGCCGCCCCGTGACCACGGTCCTGACAGGCTCCGGCTGCGTCACCCCTGGCATCTCGCTGGTGGTGCTTTTCACACCCCCGCCATTCTCATGGTTCACAGGGTGGTAGGGGGGAGCCCAGGTGGGCTCGGGGATGGAGATCTCACAGGTTTTGCCAGTGAAATGGTCAGGACACAAGCAGTCATAGTCGTTGATTCGGTCGTAGCACTTTGCCCCGTTTTTGCATGGCTGGCTGGCACAGTCGTTGATGTTGATGGTGCAGAAACGCCCTTCGAAGCCCACCTGGCACTGGCAGGAGAAGCGGTTGATCCCATCGTGGCAGGTGGCACCGTTGGCACAGGGACGCATCAGGCAGTCGTCCACGTCATTCTCACAGAGATCCCCCACAAAGCCAGCGAGGCACCGGCAGGTGAAGTTGCTGGCAAAGCCATTTTCATCTTGACACTGCCCCCCATTCTTGCACGGAGACCTGTGTGGAGAGAGCAAGGATGGGTCACAGCCTTGGAAAGCAAGCAGCTTCCCCACCCCAGGGAGGAAAACACACACAGCCACTCACGTAGCCAGTGGGTCCAGTGCTGTCTCTCTCCCTGGGGGTAGCTATTCTCAAGGAAAAGACCGGGCAGGAGTTTCTATGTCCCTGAGTTGTGGGACCTCCCCAAAGGCTGTGGCTATGCATGGGCCCACCACGCACCAGGGATGGTCTTCAGCCAAACAATCTGAAGGGGAAACATGCCCTCCTGATGCTCCCCAAACGCATGATGCATGTCAGCTCATCACACCCACCATAGTGAGGGACAAGAATCTATTCAGATCGCAACACAGCGGGACTGTGTGGTGCACACAGCTAAACCAAAGCCAAAGGCGTTTTGACTTAACTCTACTAGCACATGGAAATCTAGTGATAATGAGCCAAGCTGGGCCGCAGCTTGGCAGCGCGTGACCTGAAGCTAATACTGTCTGTAATCTTGCTGCCCCTGCTGCCGTGTCTCACCCTGCCTTCTCACATGGCCCTGTCTTCATCTCACAGTCCTTCCCATGAAAGCCTTCTGAACATAGGCAGGAATATTCCCCGTCTCGGTCGTAGATGCACTGAGCTCCATTCTGGCACGGGGACTGGTGTTCACAGATGTGGATGTCTGAGGGGAAAGAAAAAGGTGGGAATTAGCAAGAAAAGAGGGGGGTGTGGCCAATGCAGTTCATACACAGCCCATCAAAAAGAGCCAGACGGAGAAATGGCAGGAGCCTCTCCCACATCTCCTCCAACAGGCACCCGCAGCAATAGAAGTGCCGTGCCTGCATGGTGCCTCCCAGCTATGGTCTGCAAAATGCACAGACTCGGGGGTGCGGAGGGAGCAAATCGTCCTGCAAATCTGCACGACGTGAAAATGCAGTGCACGCCATCTGGCCGACCAGTGCAGACCTCTCTATGGCACAGAGGAGCCCCCCAGGGCCAGAGGAGGGGAGTCCAGCGGCCACCTGCCAAAGGCAGGAAGCCCCAGGGGAAGTAGGAGGTGCTGCCCAGGGCCCAGGCGCGGTGTGAGAAAGGCAATGAGTTCATCTGCTCCATTTCCCATGGCCGGTGTCATGGCAGCTCTTGCCATGCACCCACTCATCAGTGGGTGCCAGCAGCCTGACCTCTTCTGCAGGAAGGGGACTTTGCCAGCTGCGGCAGCCAAGCAACATCCCATCTCCTGAGCAGCCCAGGTGGCATCACCTGGGTGGCTTCTGGCTATGTCAGCTCACCCAGCAATGCAGGGTGTGCTGGGCTTCTGCCCTCAGCACTGGAGGCTGTGATGTCCAGCCCCGTGACTCACCTTTGTCACAGAACTTGCCAGCCCAGCCGGTGTGACAGATACACTGCCAAGGCTGGTGGCATGTCCCATGGAGACACCCTGGCATACGCACGCACTCCTCGCAGTACTCGCCCTCCCAGCCTGGGTCGCACCTGCAGGAGGACAAGGCATGGCAGCATGATAAAACCCAAGCAGGGGCTGCGGAAAAAGCTCGCTGCTTGCTCTGCAGGCTTGCCACAGATACAGCGGCACTGGAAAACCCTCCCAAAGCCCACCATGAACCTGCTGGCTCCCTCCTCCAGAGAAGGTCAGTACTGGCATCTCATCTTTCCAAGGAAGCGAGCAGACAGAGCAGCACAGACTCACCCTCTGCAGCCAGAGAGGGTGAGGGGGCAGAAACGGAGCTTGGCAGCTTCGCTTTTACTGCCCATGTCCCAGTGCTCTCCTCCAGCCAACCGCTCTGTACACACCAATGCGTTAGCTCAGCAACTCCCACGTGTCCCTCATTGCACAGCCACTGATGGGCAGAGAAAAGCCTCATCCCTAACCCTGAACTCCCTGAGGGAAAGGGACAAGAGGCCCCTGAGGCCCGCGTGTTTCATTGCACCCATTTGCATTATGACATGTGTCATTTTCCATCTGAAGTGCAGCATAATCCAGCTGCGAAACCTTGCTTGCCGTGGCTGGCATACAGAATGGACTTCTCAACCAGCTCACAAGGGCAATGTGATGGGAAAACCCGCAGCACACATCAAACCTTCTGGCCCCAGAAGAGCGGGGCAGTGCTGATGGCTGAGTAAAGCCAAGCTGCGCTGCTCCTGCAGCTTCCCTCACGCCTGCCAGCTCCAAGGGGGAAAGCGAGCGATAACAGGACGAGAGCTGTGTGGAGGTGGCACCAGCCGCAACAAAAGCTATACTCAAAACAGCATGAAATTAAATCTAACAAAAACAACACTGTGTCTAGAGTAAGCAAGGGGGTTCATTTCCATGGCTGGGACTCATTTCAGCATGATATACAGTGACTGCGGCTTTGCCAGGACAGTCTGAGGCTGCACTTTCACACCTGGACTGGCTACTGTCATTGCAGGTGGTTCCAAAGAGATGAGGAAAATGGTTAAAAAAAAATATATATATATGTTAATTAGAGACTTTTTGATGGGAATGGAGGTGATACCATGTATCTGATAATCTGGGGAAATGCATTCATACCTGGACAGCCACGAGCTGTGGCTGTGGGCACCCCTTACCCTCCAGCACCCACACGCTGTGGTATGGCAGCAGGCGCCATCAACTCTTCCCCTTCCCTAAAAGGGAGATGGCCAACCTAAAAATTGCTAGGGACGGGGCCCGGTAAGCAGCCAAATCTCCCTGGATTGGGGGCGATTTCAATGGGGTACTGCCAAGCTTGCTGAAGGCCTGAAATCTGGAGCAGCAACTCATGCGTGCCTGCACCAGAAAAAACTGCAGCTGGGCCACCTGCCACACGGAGAAGTGCAGCATCTCCAGCCAGGGCTTCACAACACCGAGCCCCCCTGACCAGCCACAGCCACCAAAAGGGCTCAGGGAGGAGTGAGCTCTTTGCAGCTGCAACCGGGGACCCAGTAAAAAACAGAGCTGGACTCCCTGTTGCAGCAGTCAGCATGGTTATGATCACCGCTGGGCCATATCTGCTCCATTAGGCAAGAAGGAATGGCCCAGGCATGGTGTGATGCTGTGGGCCGTGCTGGGAAAGGGGGCTGAGCGTGCCCCAGTGAGGAGGATGGGCAGTTCATCCCCTTGCAGCATTCAGGTAGCCCGTAACAGCCTGCTCCTCCTGGGGCCACCCTGTGGCATGGGGGCTCTGGGCGGCCCTACAGTGGGACAAGAGGCAGTATCCAGGCCTGTGGCAGCCCGGGGCAGCCATAGGGCTGCTTCTTGGGCTGAAGTGCAGGGTCAGGCTCTGAGCTTTGCCTTTATGGGATTTGGGCACAAGCTGGAGCCGGGATGCCAGGGATCATGCACACACTTCGGCTGTGGAACAGAGGTGTCCCCAACCTGCTGGTGAGTCCTTTATAAAAACACCCAGAGACCCCCACTACATCCCAGGCTGCAGAGACGGGACCCCTGATGCCCTCAGACATCTACACGCACATCAGCAGCTCTTCTTTTCCATGCCCCCAGGGAGAGCATCCCCATCTCAAACAGCAAGGAGGCCAAAGAAGCTGGCTGCCCCCCAAGCCTGCACCACTGCCTGATGACTTTGCTCATCATATCTGAGCCTGATGGCTCCCTCCCATCGCTCAAGCATGGCTGGGCTGTCCCATGCTCCCATCTAGACAGAAAGTGCTCAGCACAACGATGTCAGTCAGTGCGCGGTGGGGGGGGACCCTGGAAGCACTGGAGCAAAAGCTGGAGGAGACCAGCAAGGGGATGAGGGATCAAAATCTCCTACTCCGGAGGGTGTCAGGTAAAAAGCGAGCGGAGTCACCAATTCCAGGCGCCTCAGCTTGGGGTAGGGGTGCAGGCACCCGGGATGCAGCACCAACGGAGGGAGGGAGAGCAGTTATG